TTAGGGGTTTAGGGTTTAGGGACTTTAGGGGAATTTAGGGTTTACCCTATGAGCCCTCTGTGTTTGGGGACTTTAGGGGTTTAGGGTTTAGGGACTCTAGGGGAATTTAGGGTTTACCCTATGAGCCCTAATTCCTAAACCCTAAACCCCAAAACCCCAAAACCCCTAAGCAGTTCAGGGCTAGGGTCAAGGGACTTTGGGAGGATCAGGGTTTAAGGGTGTAGGGCTTAGCGGGGGTTTAAGGTTTAGGGGTTTTTGGGTTCAGGGGTTTAGGGTTTAGGGTTTAGGGGCTCAGTGGTTTAGAGTTAGGGGGTGTAGGGTGTAGGGTTTAGGGAGTTTAGGGAGTTTAGGTGTTTAGCAGGTTTAAGGTTGAGGGTTTAGGGGTGTAGGGTTTAGGGTTTAGGGGTCGGGGCTTCGGGTCTTTTTGAGGGCGTTGTCGTGTTTTGTTTGCTGAGGTTTACAGCGGTTGTGCAGCGGGGCGTTTACAATGGCTACTCAACTCATTAGGGGAGTGGCATTTCAAGAAGGGTGCAACAAGTAACACAAGTATTCACATCGCGACCCGATGCACCAACCGTCACCACAGCCCTTCTACCACTCTGGGCCCTAAAACCTTTATGCCGCTAAATTTTCCAGTCATGACGAGAAGCCCTATATGAATCGAGGTTTAAAACACACCCTGAACCCGAACCCAAAACCCGAAACCTTAACCACAGTCCTTCGCTACTGCGACTGGTTTAACTAGGTTTTAGGCTTTCGGCTTTAGGATTTAATGGCCCTGAACCCTAAACCCATATGCAGCTCGACACATCCTTGTCAAGCAGTTTTCTCGCCGCCTACTGCAGCTCTCCGCAGTGCTTGCAAGGCCGCGTTTTTGTAGGCCAAATGCAGCATGTCTGGAATGAGTATCTCCATGAAGACACCCCGTCTATACATCTCTCTCTCTCTCCATATATATATATATACACATAAACAAAGAAACAGAGACAATGAGCGTGATTACACACACACGCGCACATATATATATATATATATATAAACATGTTCAAACATATCACAAGAGAGATAAACAGATAGGTAGACAGGTATGCTCAACAGTGTTCTCTAGGACCCCTCCCCCATGTACCCTAATCCAGTCAACATTGGCGGCTTCGCGTTACTAGTTTACCCGGTATTCGCGACAATCCCCATACACAGGATTTCCCATCACCTTTACCCATAGGCCCCAAAGTAGTTCCTTTTTGGGGTTACCGAATAGGATCCTAAATAAAAGCCACAAAAAGGAACTAGATTATGATTTAAGGTATATCTCCCTAATTAAAGGGGTATTGGGTTCTTTGGGAATCGTGACCCTAAAGACCAAAGCAAAAAACCAACCTCGAACCTTCAATCCCCAAAGAGTCCCAAGTACCTATATAGTAGAATGTAGGGTCTCGAAGGGTCCATGTACCCAAATAGTATATACTTTGGCCTTAAAGTATTCCCTGTATAGGTACTTTGGGGCCAATGTATATACTATATGAGTACATGGACCCTCAGGGGGTTTCTATGTTAGGAGTTACTAGTACTCCCTGCTTCGTTTGCGCCCTGGGCTCCGCACTGCGGCGGCGAGTCGCCACCCTGGTCAGCTGCGGGCGAAGAGGACCATGGTTCAGGGTTTAGGGTTTAGGGTTTAGGGTTCTATACTAATAACTACTTATAACCCGGTTCAATACTTATAACTACTCATAACCGCATTTAAGTTACTTCAAACCTTACTAGTGCCATGATCCTCGAAGGTTCGGATTGAAGGTTCGAGGTTGGTCATCTGCTTTGGTCTTTAGGGTCACGATTCCCAAAGAACCCAATACCCCTTTAATTAAGGAGATATACCTTAAATCATAATATCAAGGCCCCTATAATGTAAGGTATATTCCTTAATTACGGGGTATCGGGTTCTCAGGGTTCGTAAAACATGAGCTTCGGGCTTGCTGTTTTTCTACGGCTTGGGTTGGAACCCTAAACCCTAAACCCTAAACCCTGAAACCGTGAGTTTGGGGATAGCAGGACTGCGTAGACCTCTGAAGGCATCTCTGTTCTGGTGGAAAATTGAACACTTGCGTTAAGATACAAAAAAAGGCTAATCCTAAAAGTTATCAAGCTGTAAAGTGACTGTAACGTTAATCCAAGTTCAGGTAAGATCACCAGAAAAAAACGCCCATATTTCAGTCGATGGATATATGAATCTGGAGGTTACGGCCTCGGCTTAGCAAAGATGTCGATGCTAGCACTATGGTGCCCACCCTAAACCCTAAATCCTAAACCGTTTATGGTGCCCGCGGCTGCTGATGTTGATGGTGATGCCTAGGTTGATCTACGGTGGCGATGCCGGCAAAATACTGAAAAACCGTACCCAAATCCCACATCACAGCCATGAACCCTGAGCCCTTATATCTTTTAATACAACCCCAAGCCCTCACCCTAAACCCCGGAAGCCTGCAAATTCAACCCTACAAACCGTATACTCTGTTCTTCAACAACCAGGCCCAACAAAGTTCAAACTTTTTGGGATAGACCTAATGTATAAGGCCCAAAAGTTTATTAAAGTACCCTAAACCCTAAACCCTAAACCCTAAACCCTAAACCCTAAACCCTAAACCCTAAACCCCCATTGGCTATCTAAGTAACCCAGGCAACAACACCGCGAGAACGAGACCCTCCCTGGCCGGAGACCTTAAACCCTTAGTGAAAGAAAACTACAGGTGGGGAGCTTAGGGTCTACAGGGGTTCTAACGGTTTAGGGTTTAGGGTTTAGGGTTTAGGGTTTAGGGTATAAGGCTTCTCTAAAGTATATAGACCTTCTATAAGGGGAAGGAGCTGCTATAACGGTAACTACCCACCTGAAAACGTCCTAGACATAGACCCCCGAAGACCTAGGCCCCTAAACCCGAACACCCCCGACACCCCAGACCCTAAACCTTTGCACTAAATGGGGGTTCCCGAAAATTAGGGTAGCTTATTTTGGGGTCCTTACAATAAGGATCCTATTATTTAGGGTACTATATTAGGGTCCCCTATTTTCGGAAACTCCCAAATCCCTTAACCTCTATCTTCTAAAACACAATACCCCATATTCCTAAACCCCTTAACCCACTATAAGTGAGTAAAGACTGAATCTAAGGACTTTAGGAGGGACCCCTAATAAGGACCCTTAATCCCATTACCTTAAATAACCGTTGTATAGTCCTTATACACCCCTTATATAGCCAGGTAGTCTCCATATTAACCCCAATAACCTACAAGGGTCCCTGTTAAGGGTCCCTCCTAAAGCCGTTAGACTGAAAGTGGAACCGAAAGCACCCCAAGTACAATCATAGACAGCAGGGCTTCTATTCTATAGGGCTTGCTATTACTATGCTTAGCCTAAACCCTACACCCTAAACCCTAAACCCTCTAAACCCCTAAACCCCTAAGCCCTCTAAACCCCTAAGCCCTCTAAACCCCTAAACCCCTAAACCCCTAAACCCTAAACCCTAAACCCTAAACCCTAAACCCCTAAACCCTAAACCCCTAAACCCGTAGGACTTGGGGGGAACCTGAACCCCCCAACGGGGGCTTCAGCTTCAAACACCAACCAAGAGATTCGCAGTACAAGGGATAAGGACCATACTTTCAAGGGATGGTCTAGGGTTTGGGGGTTAGGGGTTTAGGGTTTAGGGTTTAGGAGTTTAGGGTTAGGGTTTAGGGTTTAGGGTTTAGGGTTTAGGGTTCAGGGTTTAGGGTTTAGGGTTTAGGGTGTTAGGCTAAACCCTCTGAAATTATACTCGGTTCCCCAGTAGCGCATAAGGAGACCGGTGGGCTTTTGCTGTGCAAGAAGACCTAGAATAATTACCAAAACTTAGAGGATCATGGGACTTAGTAAGTAGAGTGAAAAGTACCTTAATTGGGAGTCACAAGTACCTTAATTGGGGTAAGAAGTACTTATAAGTATAGTTACCTGAATTATAACCCTAGTTACTAAGCCCCATGATCCTTTAAGTACCTGAAGCCCTGAAGCCCCAACCCCTAAATCCCACAAGCCCTTTAGGGTTTAGGGCCGTGGGTTTAGGGTGAAGTCTTTACACTACATTACCCTGAAACCCTACCCATCATGAAACCCCTAAACCCAAAACCCAAACCCTTACCCTCAAAGGACTCATAGTTTAAGGCCCAAACCAAAGATCCTATTATATAAGGCGTTTGGGCTATTTTCATGCTAAGGGTAATGAAACCCTAAAGAGGCTTGGTCGATGGGTAGTTCTCCAAATTAGGGTGCCTTTGGGGGTCCTTTTCACAAGGGTACCGTACTATATTGAGGACTTTAATTTGGATAACAACCCATGTAGCCTTCATCGAACCCTTTTGTATAGTAGAGTATCATACAATACAGTAGAACATAATCTATACTAGACTATACTACCCTATGATTGAATATAGATGTAAAAAACACAAACAATACTTCGAACCTTTTTTCATTTAATATAAATGTAAAAATCCACAAACAATACTTCGAACCTTTTTTGATTGAATATAAATGTAAAAAACACAAACAATACTTCGAACCTTTTTGATTGAATTTAATATAAATGTACAAAACACGTAAACAATACTTCGAACCTTTTTTTGATTGAATATAAATGTAAAAAACACGTAAACAATACTTCGAACCTTTTTTTAATTTAATATAAATGCAAAAACAAACAATACTTCCAACTTTTTTGATTGACTATAAATGTAAAAGTCAATAAAAAATACTTCGAACCTTTTTGATTGAATATAAATGTAAAAACACAAACAATACTTCGAACCTTTTTTTGATTGAATATAAATGTACAAAACACGTAAACAATACTTCGAACCTTTTTTGATTTAATATAAATGTACAAAACACGTAAACAATACTTCGAACCTTTTTTTGATTTAAAATAAATGTAAAAAACACAAACAATACTTCCAACCTTTTTGATTGAAGACAAATGTAAAAAACACAAACAATACTTCGAACCTTTTTGATTGAATTTAATATAAATGTAAAAACACAAACAATACTTCGAACCTTTTTTGATTGAATATAAATGTACAAAACACGTAAACAATACTTCGAACCTTTTTGATTTAATATAAATGTAAAAAACACAAACAATACTTCGAACCTTTTTTGATTGAATATAAATGTAAAAATCCACAAACAATACTTCGAACCTTTTTTGATTGAATATACATGTAAAAAACACACACAATACTTCGAGTCTTTTTTTGATTGAATATAAATGTACAAAAGCACAACCCTAAACCCTAAACCCCTAAACCCTAAACCCTAAATACTTCGAACCTTTTTTTTAACCACCGAAGGCCCCCCCCCCCCGCCCTGGCCTGGCCCGTCACCTCTCGAAAGGCCCGGATGTCCCCGTGACCTGAGAGGTCGGGGAGTTTAGGGTTCAGAGAGGTCGGGGAATTTAGGGTTCGGGGTTTAGGGAGTTTGGGGTTTAGGGAGTTTAGGGTTTCGGGGTTTAGGGAGTTTGGGGTTTAGGGCTTAGGGAGTTTAGGGTTAGGGGTTTAGGGTTTAGGGGGTTTAGGGTTTAGGGAGTTTGGGGTTTAGGGAGTTTATAGGGTTTAGGGTTTAGGGCTTAGGGAGTTTACAGGGTTAAGAGGGTTTACATAGGTTTCGGGAGTTTAGGGTTAACAGGGTTTACATAGGTTTAGGGAGTCTGGGGTTGTTGGGTTTGGGCTGAGGGGGGGTACGGAGCCCGCTTAGGGGTTACCTGGACCCTAAAGTAAAGAACCTACTTTTTCCGGTTCATGATTCTGATTTCCTTATATAAGGGCTTCGGGCTCAGGGAGCTTAGGGTTTAGGGTTT